AACAGTCTAATTATACTGAAGACCTTTTAAAATGTACAATTAAGTTGTTATTGACTATAGTCACCCTATTGTGCTATCTAATAGTAGGTCTTACTCATTATTTCTAAGTATTTTTGCTGGGGTGGGGAGTTGAGGATGTTCAGTAAGTACAAAAAATAGAAAGTTTAAAAATGATGCTTTAATGAATAGATGAACAGATCTTTAATGATATTTAATGAACAGATACTTCAGTGAACAGATCAGTAGGCAGTGGTTAGAAATTACCTCAGAATAAATGAGCACAGGATAGACATAGAAGAACATCAGGAAAGACGTTATAGTGAATACAAAGAAGAGGTAGAAAAAAAAGCATTGAGATAAGTGGATGGAAGGCAGAGGGGGTTGGGGAAATGTATGCAATAAACTTCTACCTGGCTGTTTCTATAGATGTTGAGAAAATGGGAAGAAAAATGAAAGCTGATGAGAATGGAAATAGAGGTCATATATACACTACTGAAAAAGGATAAAGAAAGAAAGTAATTGACTGGAGTGTGCAAAACAGAGGCAGATGCAATCTGCAATTTTACTAGGACTTTGAATAAAACCAATTATAAAAGAGAGTGTCAGGACTTGAATGGAAAACTGAACTACCGCTCTGATAAGCCTGCATAGGAGATGGATTTTGTGCCCTCAATTTCTGAAATTAATTCTTACATATTTTGCAACCAAAAGGTTCTGAAGCTGGTGTACAAAGCCAAAAATAGTATAAAAGTTATTGTGAATAAAATGCTAAAAATCAACATATGCTCTCTTTTTTTGAGTCGTTTGGCTATTGTACACAGCAGGGCATTAAAATCATTTTGATTTCAAATGTTTTCCTGTATTGTGAATATAGGCATTTTCTGAAGACTTCACCTTGATAAATAAGTTTGCTTTTTAAAACTACAGATTTAACATCTGTAAATTGAAAAAATAGCTGTAAATTCAGTTGAATATGAAGTTATCAGTTTGGAAGATGATGGACAAAGGAAATGATTCATTATAAAAGAAATACCATAAAGTGTAGATGATGTAATACACCTGGTAATAGGCAATTCTGTTGAGCATTTGGAATGTGCATATTTTGAACAGTCAGCCATTTCTTCTCATAAAAGCAAAGCAGTAAGTTCAATCGTGTCCTGAATAAGACATTAAGTAAGCTGAAATATTTTAATGAGAATGAGGGCCTCTCCCTGCATGAGAAGACAATAGATAAATGAGTTGTATCATCAAACGTAATACAAATAACTACAGCAAAGGAGGGTATACAGATGACTCATCACATGCTCTGACCAGGGTATATAAGCCTCTTACACATGCTGGCATTTACACTCAAGATCTTGCCTTGAGCAGCAAACCAACTCACCACTCCTGACACCATGAACTACTACAGCAACTACTATGGAGGCCTGGGCTACGGCTATGGAGGCTTCGATGACCTGGGCTATGGCTATGGCTGTGGATGTGGCGGCTTCCGCAGACTGGGTTATGGCTGTGGCTATGGAGGCTATGGATACGGCTCTGGCTTCGGGGGCTATGGATACCGCAGCTGCCGCCCGTCATTCTACGGAGGATATGGACTCTCTGGATTTTACTGAAATCCTTCCCTGACAACCTAACATGAGAGGCCATAAGAAGATCACCCAAACCTGACTGCAATAACAAAAGGACGAGGTCACCCTGGATCAAGCCGAGATCAAGAGCAGTTAGCATCTGAGAGTTTTAAGAATACCTATCATTCCATAATTCTTTGCTTTATGTCTCTGGATGTGTCTTACTTGTACCTTCATAGCTGTGGGGCTTCTCTCTTCCTTTTGGAATAAAGTATGTTGACTTAAAGCAAATACATGGCTTTTATTTTTTGCTTGGCTCAAAATGGCAAAGTGGTCATTTATAATTATATCCAGTGAAAAAAGAACAAACTATATACATATAGAAGTATATTATATATAATAAAATAATTTTGTATATACATGCACCTATCTATATAGCTGTATGTATGTGTGTGCATGTATATATCCACATTCAAAGGTCACAGTTGACCCTTGAATAATGTAGGGGTTGGGGTACTGATTCCCCCATGCAGTTGAAAATCCACATAAAACTTTTGACTCTCCAGACACCTAACTACTGGTAGCCGACTGTTGACTGGAAGCCTCACTGATAACATAAACAGTTGATTAACACATACTTTGTATTTTATATGCATTATACACTGTATTCTTACAATAAAGTAAATAAGAGAAAAGAAAATGTTATTAAAATAATAAGGAAGAGAATTTATATTTACTGTTCGTGAAGTGGAAGCGGCTCATCCTTCAGGTCTTTATCCTCATTGTCTTCACATTGGATAGGTTGAGGAGGAGGAGGAAGAGGAGGAAGGGGGACGTCGGTCTTGCTGTCTCAGGAGTGGCAGAGGTAGAACAAAATCTGAGTATGAGTGGATTCACTCAGTCCAAGCCCATGTTGTCCAGAGTAAGCTGTACATGCACAAATTAAAACCATAACACTCAATTAAAAAGAATCTTTTTTCTTTGGAATACTGTGCCGTATTGACCATATCTTTTTCATTTCAATGCTTTCAGTTAGATGTTAGTGTTTAAATTCAGCCCTGAAATACCAACTTTATAAACTTTCAAATCTCAATGGAGACCAACATGAAGAGTATGTACTTCCATAGTTTGTTCAAAATGTATGTTTATTTGGCCCTTTCAATGGTAAGAAAAGTAATGATAAGACAAAGTATGTACCTGAAAATACACTGAAAATGAACTTCTTTTTGTGACTTTCATGTTTTATTCCTGGTCCGTTGTGGTGTGACACGAAGTTGCTCTCTCATATTATCAGCACATTTAAATATTTTGCAATACACTGAGGAAATATAGAAATCACTGCCATCACTTGTGAAGTAATTCATATTAAGGCTGTGACTGACCTGAAGCTTTATACACTCTAGCCAAGCCTCTTTTTAACCTCCAACAAGCAAACATGGGCCTTTTCATGTTGGTATGTCAAATAACTGCCCAAGAAAAATATGTAATAACATATTATTATGTTTCAAGAATAATGTATTTCAGTACTGAAACAAAAGTGAATGTCTTTTGTTTGAGTCAAGCAAATTCAAAAATGCCAGGAAAATAATATAAACGAACTGTGGAGTGTGCAGGGGTACTACTATAAAGTTTTCCCAATGCTTACCCTGATACCATCTTGAATGGGAAAAGATCTCCAAAAAGTGAAATCATTTGCTATGGATCAAAAATGACATGACAAGGAGATCCCAGACCAGAACCGAGTTTTACTAAATATCAGGCATTCTACTTCCCCATGCTCACTGTTCCATTCATTTTTTATATCTCTTCTTGTGTGTTGTCACATGAAGCATCTTGAAGGCTCTGGTCATGTGCGTCTGAAGACTTTAATTATCATGGCCAAATAACCACCTCTATTTATTTTCATTTGTAAACACTCTGTTGTAGAATCTTGAACTTAGCAATTTTTAATGTAGCTTTATCTGTGTAAAAACAACTTGTTAATAATGAAAATCCAATATTTTAATATTTAAAAGAAATCATAATGCATTTGAAAAACTCTGACTTGTTTGCTGAACATATGGATGGATTTGCTTAGCCAGATACTATTACCAATTCTTTCATTCAATTCAAGTGAGATGTTGCAGTTTCACCATAAATAGATCTCAGTAAAAATATCTTAGGATCTCCATTGCAGGGCTGTAGTATTTAGTTTTACTGAGTACGACAGAATTTCACATGAAAATTTTTTACTCCCTAAGTGGTCAATGGCATCACAGTCTGAAGAAAGGCTATGTCAAAAGAAGAACAATTAATATAACCATTTAGAGGAAAGTAACACTTTTAGTATAATGCAATTTTATCATATTATTACATCTCTAGTTGTTAGATTGTATTGATTTGTGTTGAAATTAAAAGAATACCTTCGGAATACATTTCCTTCCAAGGAAAAGCTGTCACCTGGTCTAGAGAAAATGCATCATAGGGTCATCAGCCTCACAACTGAGAAAAGGAATCTCCAAAATGTAGGTATAATATTACAAGATAACAGGAAGAAAAAATAACTGAGGGTACAAGTCCTCAGTTGATTCCAAGAATTTAGTCACATACAGCCACAGCTGACCCCAAACATAGTTAATTCAGCTGTGCCCTTAACTCCAACCCTGAGCCTTTAAGTTCTTATTAACCTTATATGATCTCAAATATAGTGATCAGTTATTTTTAGTCTTATCAGTAATTTCCAAATGTTGCATTTTCACAACTGAATTTGTATACTTCTTTGCAATAATCACCATGTAGTAACAGCACAGTACATAAATGCTGAATGGATGAATAAATTCTAAAGTCTATGCCTCTCAAAGGCATGAGTAATTCTCTGGCCGCATCTGAACAATAGGGATTTATAAAGATGAAATGAGGGCTGGGCGAGGTGGTTCATGCCTCTAATCCCAACACTTTGGGAGGTTGATGGGGGAGGGTCACTTGAGCCCAGGAGCTTGAGACCAGCCTGGGCAACATAAAGAAGACAATGAAATGAGCTCCAATAGCATCTGACTTTAGAGGAACATATAACCTTCATTTTATTTCATTTGTAATATGCAATATATCTAGCTATGAAGAAATCTATTTAGGATCTGGTATGCCAAGACTTTAGATACAGCAATTTCTTCTCATTAAGTGATGTAATAACTTTTAAGGGCCACTGTAACTCAGCAACAAAGCAAACTCAAACAATTTAAAGAATGCAAGGGCCTCTCCTTGTGCCAGGGAACAATGAATGACTTCTGTTAAGTAATTAATTGAAAATACACACACACACACACACAAACAGGTACGCATGTGACTCACCACATGCTCTGACCAGGGTATATAAGCCTCCCTCGACACATGCTGCCATTCACACTCAGGATCTTGCCTTGAGCAGCAAACCAACTCACCACTCCTGACACCATGAACTACTACGGCAACTACTACGGAGGCCTAGGCTACGGCTATGGAGGCTTCGATGACCTGGGCTATGGCTACGGCTGTGGATGTGGCGGCTTCCGCAGACTGGGTTATGGCTGTGGCTATGGAGGCTACGGATATGGCTCTGGCTTCGGAGGCTATGGATACCGCAGCTGCCGCCCATCATGCTATGGAGGATATGGATTCTCTCAGTTCTACTGAAATCCTACCCTGAGGACTCAGTATCAGAGGTCATAAGAAGATCATTCAAATTAACCAAATATTGAGTCAAACAAGGGCACACTGTATCAATCTGAGATTAAAAAAAAATCATTTAGCATCTAAGATGTTAGGAATATTTATTATGTTATAATTGTCTATATCATGTCTACTGGCATCCATTATCTGTACTTTACTAATTGTGGAATTGCTTGGTTCCCTTTGCAATAAATTGTCTCAATTTGAAATGGCACACATGGCCTCTGTTTATTTATTTATCTATTTGTTTAAATGCTGACTCTCCATTCCATTGCCTATTTCTTTCTTGAGTGCTTCCCAATAATCTTAAAATTCTGGTCAGATGTTCGTGTAACAATCACAGCTGAGTTTTGAAGACTAGTCTACTTTTCACACTATATGCCTCTTTTTATTTAAGATTTTGGTGAATCTGGAACCTCTTAATTTTTAGCATATCTAGATCTAAATAAAAGTAATCAGTAATTAATGATAAATTCAAATGGTATAAAAAAGTAAGAAGAATTAGAAAGACTCAGACTTGTTTACTAAACATAAGAATAGGTTTATACAGCCAGCTAGTAAGACCCACACTTTCAGTCAGTCTAGTCAGAGTACATACACTTTCCATTGACTGGGTCAACTGATTCCATTGGAGGGCTACACTACTTAGTTTGACAGAATATGACAATAGCGCTTTCATTTTCCTAATCGTTAGTGGCATTTTCCCACAATACAGGTAAAGGCCTTCTGTAGCTATGAATAAGTATAACAATCAATTTAACTACTTGGAAAAAGCGTTTGATACTTCTAGTACAATGTAGTATGATCAAATTATTAGAACTTGAATTTATTGATTTTATGGATTGCTGAAGGATTTAAAAAAATATTCCAGAATATCTTTACTTTCAGGGAAGAGCTTTGCTTATCTTAGGAAGAACACATTATAACAAGACCTTAAGCCCCAAAACAGATGCATATTTGGTAGACTTAAATTGGCGGTATCTGAAACCTGTTTGATTTATTTGCGATTATGTTGCTTTAGCCTGAGTTAATAAAAACTGTAATATTCAAATCGTCAACTGCCTTTAAAAAATAATCACAAAAATAGAACAAGCTTTAAAGAAAACAGAGAAAAGTTTTAAATAACAATGTGAGTAGTCAAAATTTTTAAAATTAGTACCAAAAACATTAAACATAAAACAAAAAGATTTTAAAGTGAGAATTTATTATATTATTGCATTTTATTTATGTAGAGACACCATTTTAAGGTGAAAAAATCTATATACTGGATGAAAATATTTTTAATACATAAATCTGAAAAAACACCCATACCCAAATATGTAAAGATCACCTGAGAATCAATAATAAAATATTACTAGCTCAATTAAAAGTGAACAAAATACTTCAACAGGTACTTCAAAAAAATATCTAAATGACCTATAAGCATATGTAAAGATGTTGAACATTGTTATTAATCAATAAAACCATATTAAAACAATGATCCGGTATCATTATGTATTCACAAGAGTAGTCAATTTTTTAAAGAGTTTGCAAGTGATCAGTGGAGGTAAGGATGTGAAGCAACTGGAACTCTCATAGATCCCTGTTGTTACAGTAAATTTAACAATTGGTAAACGTAATAACTGTATCTTGAGATTGGTAGAATCTATGGAAGCTAACTATATATTATATAATATATAACTGTTATTTATGATAATATATAATTATATATAATGTCTAAAATAAGTATAGATATGATACAAATTAGTAATTCCTATCCCAGCTGTAACAAAGGTATAGGAAAGTCTAGGTCTAAAAATAAGGATCTTAGCTGGGTATGGTGGCTCACTCCTGTAATCCCAGCACTTTGGGAGGCTGAGGCTGAGGCAGGCGGATCACTTGAGGTAAGGAGTTTGAGACCAGCCTGGCCAATATGGCGAAACCCTGTTCTACTAAAAATACAAAATTATTTTTTATTTGGGCATGGTGATGCATGCCTGTAGTCCCAGTTATTTGGGAGGCAGAGGCAGGATAATCACTTGAACCTGGGAGACAGAGGTTGCAGTGAGCCAAGATAGTGCCACGGCACTCCAGTCTGCATGATAGAGTGAGACTCCATTAAAAAAAAAAAGAAAAAAAGAATATTTATAAAAAGGTACATAACAGCTTTCTTTATTCACTGTAGCAATTAAAAAAAAAAAAAAAAAAAAAACCAAAACTGAAACCACTAAACTCCTCAAATATAGGCCTACCAGAGTAGAATCATAAATCAGTTGTGCTCTATTCATGTAGTAGACTACTTTTCAGAAATTAAAACGACAAAATTCACGTTACATATGACAGAGATCTACCTAATAGACAGTGATACACAGACCAATTGGGGATGGAAATGGAAAGTTTCAGTATGCTATATGAGACCACCTAAGTGAAGTACAGAACAAGAAAGCCTTATGCAGGATGTTAATAGTTACTCTACACGGAATAATATTGACTGCTAGAGTCACGGGACAGATTTTGGGAATTAGAGTGTGCTTGTTATAGGTGGTCTATAAATATAAGAAAAATATCACCAACTTGTGCACTTAAGATTTAAGTATTTTTAAATATGCCTTAAACAACAGCAACAAAAAGCAAATGAAATGATAGCTTATTTGTTCCTCTAAAGAAAGAAAGCTATTTGAGCTAATTTCTCTTTTAAATTCTTATTGTTGGATACATTCATAGTATTGTTCATTTCTATGAGATGTAAGATTTTTACCTGTAAGAACTTTAGAATTCATTCATCTATTCAATATTTATATATTGAGTTTCTATTGCATGCTGGTCATTGAACTGCAGCCAGCAAATCTATCTGGAGAAATGCATAATTTGAAAATTGCTTATAAACTCATCAAAAGTTGAACAGTATATTCAAAGTAATACAAGTTTAACAAGAAATTATATATTTAAGCTTAAAGTTAAGGGCATATGTGGGTGGGGTTTGGGGTCAGCCTTGGGTCTAGGTGACTAAATTCTTAGAGTCAGCTGAGGTACTCTTTGTCTTTATTATTTTCTTCATCCTGTCTTCTTACATTATACATATTTTTGGGGATAACTAAGACATTCACAATGCTAACAGTCTCTTACTGAATTTCCCAGGGTCTTGGGCAATGGCATCTATTTTTAACATCTAACACTTTAATAAATGCTTAACATCTTAATAAAGATTAGTTAGCTATTTTCCTTTAGGAAAAAAAGGAACACACAATAGGTAAAGGTAATATAAAGGCAAAAATATTATCAAAATTTGAAGATTATATATATATCTTTATGTACATATATCTATATATAGATAGATAGATATGAATTTAAGTAAGTACTAAATGAAAATTGATGGGAGGCAAAGAGAATTCCATATATTTCACCATCTCACCTAGTCCCAGACGCTAATGGGAACTGAAAGAATATATTGAAAAAAGGATAAATGTGTGGATCAGGAAAAATGAATGAATGGTGTTTGTAAGAGAGGAGAGCCATACAATCTGTATTTTTGGTAGCACCTTGGATGTCTAATATGGTAGTAAGGGAGTCAGGGTGTGAAAAAAATTTTGAACAGTTTGTAAAGCTGTTGAAATAGATTTTTTATTACTGTGATTTGACTTTAATGTTTGAGCTATATTCTGTTATGTTGTTAAATCAAAATGGTTTTTATTTTTTAAACTAGTAAAACAACAACAACAAAAAGGAGAATATTGATCATGATGGCCAATGTCCTAGAATAATAGAAGAATGGTGGCTTTATTTTAACTTTTTTAACCCCATGAAGTTCTTTACTGTTAGGCATAGCAGGTGAGCAGATGGCTCCAGTCTTTCAAACGTTTGCATCTCTTTAAAAAGGGAACTCACCTAAGGTATAAGATAACTCTGGAAGAATATGATAAATTTCAGAGCATTGAATTTAACCAAAGTCTGTTATGCAATCACAAATGAAGCAAAACAATTCCAGGAAAGCCAGAGATGAAGCAATACTTAATTTCAAAATGTAGCATTACCAACTGTGTAATGCAACATGCCTACAAAGAAGTCTATTTAAGGTCTGGTATGTACAGACTTTGAACCTACAGCAATTTCTATTCATAAAAGTGACGCAATATGTTAAAGGGACAGCATGACAAGACAGCAATGCAATGCAAGCTCAAACACTTTAATGAGTTTGAGGGCCTCTTCAGATGTCAGGATTGGGTCAGGTAAGTGTAACATATAGAATTACACTAAAATAGGCAGGAAGTGTTTTGTCACGTGATCTGTCAGGGTATATAAGCATGCCTGCGCAGATGTCAACATTCACACTCAGGACCTTGCCTTGAGCAGCAAACCAAACTCACTACCCCTGACACCATGAGCTACTACGGCAGCTACTACGGAGGCCTGGGCTATGGCTACGGAGGCTTCGGTGGCCTGGGCTATGGCTATGGATGTGGATGTGGCGGCTTCCGCAGACTGGGTTCTGGCTGTGGCTATGGAGGCTACAGATACGGCTCTGGCTTTGGAGGCTACGGATGTGACTCTGGCTTTGGAGGCTATGGATATGGTTCTGGCTTTGGAGGCTACGGATATGGCTGCTACCGCCCATCATACTATGGAGGATATGGATTCTCTGGATTCTATTAAACTACTGCCCCAGCAACACAATATCTGAAATTATAAGAGGACTTTCCCAAAGCTGACTTCAATCATTGGACAACCAAGATCATGCTGGAGCTATTTGCACAAAAGAGTTTAACATCTCAGAATTTCAGGCAATCTTTTCTATGTGCACCCATATCTCTGTCATAATCCTGGTATTCTCTACTTTTGCTTTTATAACTGGTTGAATTATCTATTTATCTTCCAATAAAACATTCTAATTTCAAAACACAATGTGGTTCCGTTTTGTTCATGAAACTCAATTATATGTAAGTGATGATGTCATTCAGAGACGCTATCTCCCTGACTGAGAATCTATGATTTTCATATACCTCATAAACATGCATGCAGATAGATAAATACATCAATAGCTCCAAAGAATAATAATTCTAGATTGAAATGAAAAATAGAACTTCAGAATGGTTAGTAATCTCACATTTTTCAACGTTTTGCTTTTATTTAGATAGTATTCAGATTTAAGTCAACAACAAAAAGCAATACCTACTTAACATGTCTTTATATTTATATATCAAGCATATATGTTTTATTTAATTCAGGTCACATTTGTCAACTCACTGCGAATGTGTAATGAATCTTTCTATCCGTTCAAAATTTCTTTCTTTTATTGTAAGAGCAAGCAAATGGTGACAGATCAAACCGTATTTCTAGGTTAATTATGAAAGTATATTATCTTTCCAAATTATTGTATTTGGTATAACCTCACCCTATCATACTCTTCTGCCCATTAATTTATTTGACATTTTCATTGAACAATTGATGTAACTATTAAATTAGTGTAGAATTTTTTTCATATTGGTTTAACATATTTAACTCAAAACATTTTAGATTTTTTTTTCAACTAGCTTTTCTATTATCTTACTTAATCCTGATGGTATGATACAGCATTCTTCTTCACCATCACCATTATATTGAAAATTTTACAACTTAACAAGGGAAAGAAACAAGACTTTAATGTGAACTAATTTATTTTTTAGCTTAAGCTGATGACAAGAACACTTTGATCCAAAGACTTTTCTTACAAACCTGAATTTCAGTTAAACCACTCCCCTGATAAAAATAGGAAGAAGGGGGCATTTTGTTGATGAAATTTTTAAAAGATATAAATGAATATCAGCTTTTTTCTAAAATCAAAGGATATATTCAACAAACAACATAAAATCAAGATATTTTGTTTAAATGTCAAAACTTGTTAAATGTGTCTGATTGAGTCACACAGTAGCATTAAAAGTTGCTCTACTAGAACAGACATTAAATGGTAGCAGTTACATTCATTTCATCTTGTAGGTTAAACAACAATGACAGCAGCAAAAACACTCAGGAAACTTACACTAGCTCTAGTGGCAGAGTCAGGATCAGGGTTATTGCCAAGGTCTTCTGAATGCAGGTGCCACCATGAAGCCTTTATTCCCAGTATATTTTCTCCCTTCATGAACCCAAAGAGGATATCTTGAATGTTCTGCTCAGTTTCCATAAACATGACTGAATTTATGGGGGAAATGAAAATGGTTTCTTATAATCACTTTTCTATAATATTTTATTGTTCTGATTTAGAGAATTGAACCTCTTGATTTCAATGTTACCTTCATCTAGACTTCAACTGTAACCACATCTATATGCATATCTATAAGTATATATACATATGTATAAGTATACCTATATTTATCTGTATGGATATATCTGTTTCAAGGGATTAAAGTTTTCATTTGAAAGTCACAAAGTTAAATTTGCTTAGCCATGTGATATCAGCTATTCTTCTAGTCGGTTCAATCTGGATGTTGTAGGATCACAATACATGTAGAAAGGCAAGGTAGAGTTATGTGGTTCCATCATTTTGCACTTATTCATTCAGGTTAATAGTTTCAAAGTCAATGGACATGCCTTATAGAGCTAAAAATAAAAACACCCATCAATATGATTATATTGAAAAACATTATGTATTATACTTTTATTCAAATGCATTATCAAATTTTACTACATCTTATTTTTTATTAATTTTTATCTGGGTTAAAGAAACATGTTTTGAATTTATAGAAAAATGTCTTTATCTCTCAAATAAAAGTTAATCACCCGGCCACTAGAAAACTTTATTTTCATTATTTCACACATCAACACAGGATCTGAGTTTCACAATGAACTCATGATCTTCCTGGAAAAATCTCCCAAAAATAGCATAACAGAGAACTAATTGTGCAAGTCCACTGAATTAAGTGAAAAAATCAGAAAAATAAGCATTTCTCAATTTCCAAAGTTAATTGCTATCCAAAAGACACTGTAATTGTTCTACTTTTTAATTAGGAAAAAAGCAGAAGTCTTTGATTGTTTTGGTTCATGTATTTCACAGCATTCTATGATGATATATGTGCATGTATCGATATATGTGTATCTGTGTATCAATGAGATAGATCTTATTATTTTGTTGTTTGAAAATACATAAGTAAAGCAGGGCGTATTTTATTAAATAATATTTTGTTTGTAAAAAATAATAAAAATCGCCTTTAATTTGTAAAATCTAATGGATGATATTTCTCTTGGAGATGGTTATAGGCATCAGAAACAGCAATGTACATTAGCCTTTCATGAGGGTTAGAAAATCTGGCGGGCTTACCCAAGAATTAATGAGATTCTTAAACTAGTTAGACTTACTTGTTATTGCTTGTCTTCAACAACTACTTATTGAGAATTTAAAAATTGTCCAGTTTTCTTTTTCAGAACGAAAATAAAGGTGGAATGAATTTTGATAAAGGAGAAAACAACCACGGCAAATATTGAGTTGAATATTCCTTTAAAACCTGAAAGCCATTTTGAGTGCATATTCCACATGAGATGTGCACTACATGTTGAGGCGGGCAAAATTCATTCTTTCATTTATCCAACAACGTTTTTGGAAGAATAGTGAACAAATTAAGTTGAGAAAATGCTTTATCAAAAACGTTGCTTATAAACCTCACGACAAAGCAAAACAGAAAACAAAGCAACAAAAAATACCCTTGGCAAAATGTTTAAAGTCTTGTAAAGCAAAGCACTGCTTAAAGACCCAAGTCCAATATATGGTCATATTCTGGTGGAGCTAAACTTGGACTTGATTTACTGTCTTCCCAGAGTAAGTATAGAAAATCGGTGGAGAATGGCCAGCCCTCCTCACATCCTTGCTTCCTATCTCAGTTATTTCACCAGTGCACATTTGCATTTGAGATTTTCAAGGTATCAGAATTGTAAGAGACTGTTAGATATATTATATGACTCTAAGAGTCATATAAACTATTGTTCAAAAATGTGTAACTTTAATAAACAAATAATGTCTTTTGTTTGCTGGTTGAGAGAAAATAAGAAGGTGAGGCACACAGAATTGGAAAAGAAAACATAAGGATAAAAATATTGTGATAAAATTAAATATATGGGTAGAAGGATAAAATATTGATTGGAAAAAAAATGGATAAGAACAAATACCTACGTGGCACTAGTACATATCGGGAATGAATACAGCATAAAATGAAAAGGTTTGATAAAGAGAACGGATATATACATAGTGAGGAAGACTAGGAAGTGGAAGACAAGTGGTATCTGTAAAGCATGAAGCCAAGATCATCTGAGTAGCCTAGGTAATACTTTATGTAGAGCCAGTTTTGGAAAACTGTGTAACGGTAAAAATAGAAATGATTGTTTTCGCGCGCGCGTGTGTGTTTGTGTGTGTGTTTTAGACAGTTTCACTCTGTCACCCAGGCTGGAGTGCAGTGGCACGATCATGGCTCACTGCAGCATCAACTTCCCAGGGATCAAACAATCCTCCTGCCTTAGCCTTCCAAGTAGCTGGAACCATAGGTGTGCACCCTCACATCTGGCTATTTTTTTTTTTTTTAATTTTGTAGAGACAAGGTCTTCCTATGTTGCCTAAGCTACTCTCAAACTCCTGGTGATATAGTTTGGCCATGTCCCCATCTGAATCTCAACTTGAATTGTGTCTCCCAGAATTCCCATGTGTTGTGGGAGGGATTCAGGGGGAGGTAATTGAATCATGAGGATTGGTCTTTCCCTTGTTATTCTCATGATAGTGAATAAGTCTCATGAGATCTGATGTGTTTATCAGGGATTTTCACTTTTGCTTCTTCCTCATTTTCTCTTGCCACCACCATGTAAGAAGTGCCTTTCACCTCCTGCCATGATTCTGAGACCTACCCAGCCATGTGGAACCGTGAGTCCAATTAAACCTATTTTTCTTCCCAGTCTCAGGTATGTCTTTATCAGCAGTGTGAAAACAAACTAATACACCTGGGCTCAAGTGATCCTCCCACTTTGGCCTCCAGCATTACAGGGGTGAGCCACTGTACCCCACCTGAAGAGAATATTTTTGAACAGTTGGTCAGGCTGGTGTAACAGTGAGTTTGTTCTCTTGAATAGTATCTCGGTTTCTGGAAGAACTTTTGTTATGCTGATAAGCCAAAACAATGTTTTGCAAGCTGATATAGAAAATTAAAGTAGTTTTATATTATGCCTACATACATATTTCCATTACTTTGTATTTACCACAGCTGATCAGAAAATTTATTTATTCAAAAAGTTCCTTTTCTTTTGAAGGAGGAATAGCCTTAATTTCTCAACCCAGTAAAGATATTTGATATCTGAAGGCTTTACTAGATTTAAAAGTTTTAAACTTGATCAATGTATTTGAATCTAGGGGGAGGTAAAATTGAACAATCTAAGGAATGGTATAAAAATGAGAAATGAGAAAAAATTTAATAAAAACACAGTATCAAATATGAATAATTCAATATGCTTAGTGATGAAGAATTATATTTAGAATTTTAAAAAATTGTGTAACTTTGAAAATGCAGACTATTTTGTCATTAAAAAGAATGTATCAGCTGGGCACAGTGGCTCACGCCTGTAATCCCAGCAGTTTGGGAGGCCAAGGCGGGTGGATCACCTGAGGTCAGGAGTTCGAGACCAGCCTGGCCCACATGGTGAAACCTCGTCTCTACTAAAAATATAAACATTAGCCAGGAGTGGTGGCAGGCACCTGTAATCCCAGCTACTCAGGAGGCTGAG